TCTCCCCCTGCCCCCTCGCACCCTCTCCTTTTCCCTTTATGGAGACGGTATGTGGTTTCACATTTCCACGACGCGTACAGATCGCCACTTCCGCCCTTTCTCCCCCTCCCCCTCGTGCCCTCTCTTTTTCCCTTAACCCGAGGCTCCTAAGCCCACGCCCCCCACGGGGACGCTGCATTTCCTCTGTTGTGCAGGTTTCAGCTAGACTGGGGAGAGGGCAGTGTGCATGGCACATGTCAGCTGTTCCGGGTCACCGCCGACGTGCAGACACGTGTCACAGTCACTGCACGGTCCCGGCGAGCGCTGGCCCAGTCCCCGATGCCCACTGTCTCCTAGACTCTGTCCCGGAAAATGCCCTCGTGGGAAAGGGACTCTGCTGGGACAGGAGCCTCAGCCGGGGCAACGCGCGGGGGCGTGCGGGCGCGTGAGCAGAGCTCCCTCGTGGTCGCCCCGCACGGCCAAGCGCGATCGGCAGTGCCTTCCGACTGTTCTCCTAGCTATCCCAGAGGGAAGATGCTAGAAAGCGCCGTGAGGCGTACCGTGTCACCTTAGTCAAAGTGCTGAGGAAGGCGATGGGACGCCGGCCGGAGTTGCAATTACGTGACGCAGAGGGGACTGACTGTCCTGGAATTCACCAAGTTTGCAGTTTCCAGAGATGCATCCACTTTAAGGAAAAGAGAGAGTTCTTAGCCAATTTGAATGTTGCCTTTCAAAAATAAGGAAGAAAAAGCCAAACAAGGCGAAACATGAGAGTGAAAATGACTAATGAAAAAAATTGGGTAGAAGTTTCCCCTCGGCAGTAATTTCAAATTGTGATTGAGGCGAGGGGGACAGAGGGGACTTCTGGAAAAAGGGCAGGAAGTTTCTTTCCCCTCGGCAGTAATTTCAAATTGTGATTGGGGAGAGGGAGACAGACGGGACTTCTGGAAAAAGGGCAATTCCGAAAATGTTTCCGACAAGCGGAGTTCTGGGTGAGGGTCTGTGTAGTTAATACTGAAGCAACACGAGTCTTCCCTGTCTCTTCCCCTTAATGTGAGTTGTGATTTTGTTAGTTTGGAATTTTGTTCGTCCCCTCGGCAGTAATTTCAAATTGTGATTGGGGAGAGGGAGACAGACGGGACTTCTGGAAAAAGGGCAATTCCGAAAATGTTTCCGACAAGCGGAGTTCTGGGTGAGGGTCTGTGTAGTTAATACTGAAGCAACACGAGTCTTCCCTGTCTCTTCCCCTTAATGTGAGTTGTGATTTTGTTAGTTTGGAATTTTGTTCGTTTCAACGACGTTGAACCGATGACGGTGGAAGGATGGTGCTCGTTCCGTCCAGAGGCCCCGTCACATCTGGGTGACGACCTGAAACTTTGGTCAGTTACGCGCGTCTCCTGCCGTGCTTACCTTTCACTTCCACGGAAAGTCACGCGCTTTCCACGTCTCTGCAGCTGCCAAGCCCACCTCGGCGATGCGTGGGCCCCTGGGCGGCCAGGACTGCCAGGCCGGCAGGTCGCGGGCTCTCCGACGTGCTCCGGCCTGAGCAGTGCCACGTTGCATGTGTGGCCGAGGCTGACACACGCGAACCCTCCCGGTAGGGGCCTGGGCATATTAGGTAAATCCTGCTTTAGAAGTAGCAGCTACCACTTGGTTCTGAAAGCCAGGAGCTGACAGTGTTGTCATTGAGATGTCCCTCCTCGCCTTCGTGTGACTCTGACGTCGGACGCCGTCCCTTGAAAGCCAGGAGCTGACAGTGTTGTCATTGAGACGTCTCTCCTCGCCTCTGTATGAATCTGACGTCGAACGCCGTCCCTTCGAATACTGGTCGCTGGGAAGGTCGTGACGCATTTCCGCGTAGAAAAGACGCTGCTGACTTCTCCGACGGCCGGGTGGGTCTCCCTGTTTCCCAGAGGGCGATGTGGGCAGGCGCGGGCTCGCGCTCACACACGTGTGCACGCCCGTCACGGTGGCCTCGTCACCCGGGAGCCTGCGCGGTCACGCCGCCTGGCCGGCCTGCGACGTCACCTCCCTGGCTGAAAGGCCAGCCCGTCTCTCCCTTCCCTTCTCCGTCAATGGCGCCCCCACACTTACTGCCACCTGTCCTGAGGGTCACAGTGTCCACGAAGTCTCAGTTCAGCCCCGGAGTCCAAGGGCTGCCTTCCGAAAGGTGAGCCGGGAGCCCGCTGTCGGATCGCTGTGCGAGGAACACGCCCGGCGGGAACGAGAGCGTCCCTGGGCGGGAGGGCCAGTACTGGCATTTCAGAAGGTGGGCGTCGTGGGGACTGAACCGTCTGTCTTGGAGGCTCCTGGTCTAAGAAACGCGTGTTTAAGAAAGGCCACGTCCGACGTGTTTGGTGGGTGAACACCGTGTTAGGACGGGACCTCAGTCCGTGAGGCGCGGAGGGGACACGGGCCTCAGGCTGCCACAAGGCAAATGTTACCTAGGAAAGGCAGAGGAGGAGCTCCGGGTGCCTAGAGGGAACAGGAAGACCCGGCAGGAGCCCGCCGGTCCGGCCCGTGCTTGGCAGTCGGAGTTCTTTCCGGCCTGTTGGATTTGCCGTCTACAGACGCCCAGGCCTTCCTTCCCCACGTGGAACATCACCCCTCGGACTGCGTAGCCCTCTCCCTGGGCTGGAAAACCGCAGGTGGTGTTTAGAAATGTGAAAAAGGAGATGCAGAAAATAGGTGGTTATCTGTTCAAGCAAAGCGATTCACCGTAGCCTCAGTTATCTGAGCACCACCTTCAAACAGTATGTGGAGTGAGCGTGGACGGGCGTTTGGTCGTCTGGTTATTCTCCAGCTTACGTGCCGTGATCTGAAAAAGCCCGCCTGGCTAACTCAAAACATGGCCAATGTGTCCGTGATCAACTGCTCCACTAACTTCGTCGCTGACTTGAACCGGCCTTAGATCCGATTGTAATGTAAGCAGTTACTAAGAGGTTTAAGGGGCTTTCCTGACATCCGAGTGCAGAGCACCCTTCAACCAGAGGACCTTTGAGAAAATAGAGCAGCAGCATTCGCCCTGCCTTTACCAGAACCAGGCCAGGCTTATACCCAGGCATGGCGAGTTTGAAATCGGAAGGACTTCTGAAAGGACGATGTCGTGACTTCTGCTCTTCCAAACGATCAACATTGAAACAACCAAGCAGCCCAGTTTTTGCCCTTGCAGAAACAGTAAAGGAGTGAGCTGCTCTGCTGTTTCAGGATGCCCATGCTTTCTCCTGCGGGGTAGAAGTCCATTTTTATAATAAAGGGACGTTAGCCAGGGGTCAGAGGCAGGCCTGCCGCTGACCTGGGATGGTCTGGGGTGCTTGGACGAGTGGATACGGAGAATGCAGAGGCGAAGGAGCTGCTGCAACGCCGAGCCTGGCCGTTCCTGCAGGCCGATTAGGGAGAAATGTACAGGACACACGTCTTCATCCTGGGCCATTTGAAGAGGTTCAACAGCGAATTGGGAACGGAGCATTTCCCACGAATTCCCAATCTCTCTCTTCCTTATTCCCAGTTACCTTTCTGAGTGTTTTTGAGGTGACGGTGTCCTGATGCCCAAAAGGGACAGCGTTTCAATCCGGATTGAGCCGCACTGAGCAAACTGGCTTTCAGTGTACACTGGATTACACTTATCCGAAGCCGTTCCCTAACTCGTTGGTTTTTATTTTTATTTATTTATTTATTTTTGCTATTACATTGGATTATGCTTATCGGAAGACATTCCGGAACTAGTTGTTTTGTGCAGAAACCGAAGATGAAGTTTCATATACGGTTTATAAACTCAGCAGAAGCACTCAGAAATAGTTCGCGAGACCACGGAGTGGATTCAGAAATGCTCCGTGCCTTGAGCGCGCTCAGATCCTACAGCGAGGCCACGGCGAGTGGAGACCAGCCCTGGCTCTTCCGGTCTCACAGGACATGCGGGAAGTCCCCAGTCCGGCAGTGGAGAGAAACACGGTCGAAGAAGAGGAGGTTTTGCTCGTTTGTGTGCTAGCCCTTTAGGGACCAGGGGGTCCGCTGCTTCCTGGTGGAGGCAGGCATTAGTCAGGGCGGGGTGGGGTTACTGGGCCCTCCTCTGCAGCATGCCATGGCCGGGTGGCGAGCTTGTCTGCAGGGACACTCTCACCCCAGTCGTTAGGACTCTGCGGCAGCCCCCATTTCCTGCAGGCAGCATGAAACTGTGCTCAAAGACAAGCGTTTTCCTCACTGAAGCACCCACAGAAATGTGCCCACCAATCTGATGTAAAACTAAGGACGAAACTGTTTGGCATATAAAGAAATGAATCCTATTTCCACCCATTCACAGAAGACGTAGGTGTGTGTGTATACATACACACATACGCATGTCTGTGTGCTGTGTGTGTATTGGGTCCTCAGAAAAGTCACGATGCATTTTTCTATGCAAAAATGCATCATGATTTTCCCAACCACCCAATAATACATCTATACATATATATGCCTGTTTTGAAAGAGCTGACTGCAGGAAATGGAAACTCTTACGAGATGCATACTGATTGTTTATTTAAGGCATGTTTGGGGTAACCTGGGGCAGTAGTGGCTGGGTCCCCGTACACCGTAGCAGGCTGCCTCCCTCATCCTGTGCCTGGGAGTCTCTGTTCTGGTCAGTGGTGTTGACGCTTGCAGAAGCAGCACCCCTATGGGCTCGGAAGGGGCAGCTGCTCCGACTGCATTAATATGGAATGCCTCCTCTTCTCTGCCCCTCACCCAGCATGCAGGCTCAGAGACATCACAGTTTCGAGAGTGATGCACACAAATTTGGAACCCTTGTCAGAATATGGAACTGTCACCTGCTTGAGTTGGAACATTTGGGAGAGTGAGGGACACAGCAGCACCTCTCAGACAGCGCCCGCCACCGGGGCACCCCAGACCTCCATGCCCTGCACCCTGGGTGGAGCAGCCATGCCCATGTGCCCCATGCGACCCTGTCACCGAGCATCCTGCCAAAGGACAGCCTTCAGGTAAAGAGCCACACGCCCTCTCCTCACTCTCCCTGTGCCCTTTCCTCCTTCCAGAAAGTGGGCACAGACCAGCTCGAGAGCCCCTGAGCTCTGCCCCTGAGCGAGCTGGAAGGCACTGCTAAGCCTCATCTGGACAGTTAGGGTGGAGGCCGAGAGCTGACTTGGGAAAGCCTGCAGATGAGCAGGCGTGGGGGCCCTCCGGGAGGGCTTTCCTTCCATACCCAGGCCCCGCGGGCCAGGCCGAGGTCTCCATGCAGGGCTCTCCATGTCCTGTTGGTGAATCCCTAGGAGACACTATGAAATGTGGGCTCTGCGTCATGGAGACAGCTGCAGTGGACAGCCGATGTCAGGAAAGAGAGGCCAGATTCAGAACAGAGGCTGTGGGTACCTGTTTCCTACTCGTCAAATGTCACGAGACTTGCTCACATGGAAATACTGTGGGTTTTGAAACCAGAGAGATTGGCAAATTGTTTTAAAGGTGGAATTGGGCCAAATGTATGCTATGGGAGTTTCTTTTAGGTTATTTTCCTCCCAAGAAGAATTTTACTAGAAAATTCAGTTCTGTCTAGAACTTTTTGAATGTCGCGGATTGAAATCCTTCAGATGGCTAGCGTTAATTCATAAAACTGAAATTGTGTTCAAAGAAGACTGCTCTCTGCTGAGTGCTATGGCAGGGCAGCGGGAGCCCCTGGGCCAAGGGACCGCCACGGCGCCTCTGCCAGAGCTGGGCAGGGCGGTTTCCACGCGGGCAGAGCCACGGCACTGCACGCGAAGTTCTCTAGTGGGAGAGAGATTTGGGCTGAGCCGCTGCAGCCTTGGCCCCACCACTACTTACCAGGTCATTGGGAAAGCCATGATCTTCTGTGCAAAGATGTGTCATGACTTTTCCAGCGACCCGGTATTGTTACCTCGCCACTGAACTGGTAAATAGAAGCGTTGTCCTGTCAACCCCCAAGGCAGAGAACTACTGCAAGAAAAACACTGGGCCAGCACCTCTCGCTGTGTAGACCCTGTCCGAAGCAGACAGGCAGGCGTGTGTGTGTGTGTGTGTGTGCATTCAGCTGAGACGCGGCGGTGTCAGCTCGAATGCACAGACTGGATTCCACGTCTTCTGGCCTCTTCCCTCCAGCCCGTCTGTCCAGGGCACTGTGTGGCTTCAGTATTTCTCGGCATGCCATCTCACTTCGCTTCCGAGTAACACTGGTATGCACAGTAGGTAATTTAAAAATGTATGACTCGGAATAAAATTAATTCAGTTTTCTGTGTGAAAAACATGAGAACACAGATTCCGGTACCAAATTTCAAGAATGCCAAAGCACTAAGGGCCTGGAAGGACTTTTTTTTTCTCCTATTGATGGGGGAGAGTTTTCCAAGAGTCTTAGGAAGTACGGACTGGCATTCAGTTATAACAAAGAACTAATATCAAGAAGCAAATTTGATTTTTGTTACAAAAATATCAAAAGAGTATTGACCTGGGGGGATTCTTTTCTTTGGATTTTGCTACGTGTTCTTATTTCAAAGTACAAAATAATTTCTGTTCATCAAAATATATCATTGATAATAGCCACTGCCCTTTTTTTTTGCATTGAAAGTCATTTTAACTTGAAAATGAATATTTACTAAGAAATTTTAAAAATTCTACCTATGTTTCTTTCACACTCTGGAATATGTTTTCACGACACAGGCTCCAGCAGCTGTCAGCCTCCGCAAGACGACAGTGGTCATCGAACCCATGCTACTGTGACAAGGTGGAACACGCCCTCTGGGGTCAGGCTCGGGCCAGCAGAGCGCGGCTGTGAGAGTGACATGGGGGACTCCAGCTGAACTAGCCCGAGGACCCAACGTTCAAACACTCGGGCCTCGGCAGCTTGGTCAGACCATCGGCACCTCTGACTTCAACGCCAGGAGTTGAGACGTGGGTGTTTTCCTCCAATGGAAATGAGGGATGATGTCTATGAACTCATCCTAGGCCAAGAGGCGGCTGCTAGGACAGGGAGGCTGGGTGACCACGACGGGCCAGAGCAGAGGCCACAGGGAGAGGGAGCGGGGACAAAGCCACTGAGTCCACACACAGCCTCAACCGCCGTGTGGCCCCGGAGCCCAGGCCAGGCGGAGGGACTCAGTCCTCGGGGCTGGCGCCGGGTCACAGGGGCAGGGGCCGGCCAAGAGCTGCTCAGTTGTCCTACTTTACAGACCCTCGCACGGGTGACGGACAGCGGCTTCAGGGATCTAACACTCAGAAACATCACCAGACTACAGATTCAGTACGGGGTGGACAAGAACACCACTGTGAAACTCACCTAGCGTGTGTGTGAGTGTGTGTGCGTGTGTGCGTGTGAGACACAGGCGCCGTGTCAGGCTGCCTCCTGTGCTGGAGGTCTCTTCTGACCTCAGACGGCTGCGTGCTGTCCTTCCTGGCCGCTCCCACGGCATCGCGGGCTGGGGGGTGAAGGGGGAGAGGGTGGGCCGGGCTGGTCCCTCGCCCCTGCAGCGGCCCTCAGAGGTACAGGTACCCGACCCAGTAGACCAGGTTGAAGAGCAGGAAGGACGTGGGGAAGAACACCCGGGAGTAGGAGTCCAGCTCCGAGATGTCTATGTGGACGCGCCCCTTCCGCCACGACCCCGCCTTGCACTCCTCGTAGCAGCAGAAGAAGCTCTGGCAGTCCTTGCCGTCCAGGCACTCGGACACGCAGGTGTCCTCCAGCTCGCGCCAGTACGCGGAGTTGTTGAGCGCCGTCACGGCGGCTGGCGGCGGCCTCATGTCCAGGAGGGAGTAATTCTGCAGGCAAGCAGAACAGAACAGTCAGGGGGCGCAGGACACCTGTGGCTGCACGGCGCGCCCACGGGAGGGAAGGCCTGACCGGGGGTGCAGCCTGGTCCTGCCGTGCTGCAGGGCTCACCTGCTGGCCAGGTCCCAGGCCTCTGCAGACCTGGTCCACAGCGGGGCCTCACTGTGACACGGGGCGGCCCCCTTGGGCTTTCTCTCGCTGTCTTTATTACTCATGAAATAAGTACTCATCAAGTTTTTTTTTTTTTTTTTTTTAGATGGTTTTTTTATAAG